TTGGACATATTCCCGATATGTGCCGGACATTGGAGCGACACAGCTAACAGAAATGGGCTGAGCGACTGACAAAGGGTCGGCGGTCACATTTGCATTTTCTGGCGAGAGAACGGAAAGAAAGAAAGAAAGTGGCGAGCGGTGAGAATATGAAATGCATTTCCAGTTGGCCAAGTACTGGGCCAGACTGGCCGCTCGACTGACCAGTCAACCAATTAGGCCTCAAGAATGCAGGTAACGGTTTCTCGGCTCCAACTCTCTTTCTGTCTCTGTCTCGAGCTGCATCTGCTTCGGTTCTGCTTCTCGTTTTCACGTTCCCAGTTGTCCAGTTTGGCGGGGATTTCCGCAGGCGTTTGTTGCATGCTGCTTGTAGTTTGGCAAGTGGAGGTGTCTGCTAGGCGTCTGCCAGGGTCCCAGAGCCACCCCAAGTTCGCTAATTGTAACACCCGCTCACAGGCAGACTCGCTGGAGCACACCCTCGCTGGCACATCGTCGCCCGCCGAAGCCCGGAAAGCGAAAGTGGTTTTGGCAGCACCGCAACGGAGCTCCAATGGCCCACAGCCAACTGGCCTGCAAGCAGCCAGCAGCAGGCCAAATCCAATGCATGGATAGAAATGGCCAACAAGCTGTCGCGTCAATCGCTGTTACATCAGCCAACTGTTGCTGCAGAAGATGGCGACTTGCCACGGAAAGCAGAAAACAGAAAAACCCCGCTTCGATCTCGCTGCGTGCTTTTCTCTCGTTCTCTTTTTCTTCCCTGCTTCCAAACACACACACACCCTGATACATTTGGGCCTGGGCACAGCAATGGGCAACATTATAAGGCGACTTATCATTTAAAAATCCTGTTTTGCTAACTTAATATAAAACAAGTTTAAAGCTTGGTCTTATCTTTCTAAACACTTCTATATATTTTTTGGTTCAGAAATCTTATTAGATGTAATAACCATGTTTTTCTAGCAGACTGAGGTGACGTGGTTAATAAGGCAGCCAATCTTTCTCATCAATTTACATAGTACTATCTTGTTGAGAATTTAAAGGAGTAACCAAAGTTTGATCTTATATAAAATAAATAATTTTTTAACTGTAGTATTCATAATATATTAAATCTGATTAATAATAAATAATAAAATATTTATTTAAGTAACAAAGGCTATATATCCTCCTCCAATATCAGGTTTAAGTTATTACATCGACTGCTGCCAATATCACATCGATTTCTCACAATAAAATGGTGCTTACTTCTTCGCCCTCCGCTGTGGGTAAAATACATAATTTGCAATGTAAGCGCGACTTCGGCCGCAAATATGAGCCGAGACGAAACCTGGACCGGAGCGGCGCGGAGCCAGAGGTGGAGGTACGGCGGCCAACAGAGGCGGCTTGGCCATCTTTGATCGGCGTGGAGCGTGGAGCGCTGCGTCAGTTGTATTTCTGGCACGCTGGCCAACGGTTCACGAAGCGGCTAGTGTCTGCGCCTCGCGGCTCTCGAGCGGACGCCTCCCGATAGCCTGATAAGCCTGGGCCAAATCAATTGTAAGGCGATACCCGATTTTCGATACTCGATCGACACTCGATACTCTCTCGCACCTGGACTGACCTGCTGCAGGGCAGCTCGTTCCCTCCCGGTTGGTACTTGGCATGATTCACCGTTAAGCCGTATAATCGTTTTACTCGTGGCGCGCACTGATCGATTCAACTTCGTCGTGTCGCTCCGTCGTTCCGATGTTACTGCTCCCGCTACCGCTACCGCTAGCGCTGTCAGTTGTCGCCGCCAGCGCCGCCTGATAAGGTTCAGACGCACATCCAACCAGCCGTCAGTCGGCTTAAAAGCGTGCAAGGCAGAGCATCGCGTAAACGTGAACGGAACGGAACGGAACAACAGCCGCCGCCGCCGCCTGTTGCTAAATAAAACGATTAGCCAAGAAGGCCGATTGTCCGAGTGAGTGTCCAAGTGACCGAGTGCGTGGGGAGTACCGAGGCCCGAGTGACTGTGATTAGATAACCAACCGCCAGGGCACCCACCTAATTAGAAATCCAGGCGGCAAGTGACAAAAAACCCAGCATTACGTCCACGCGGCCCAAAACTCTAGCCAATCGAAAACAAAATAAAAAAAATAAATAAATAACTCAGAGTCGAGCAATAGTCAAGTTAAATATTAAGCGCGAGGGAGGCGGCAGGTGTGCGTGGCCCAAAAACTAATGAACTCGGCTGACTGGATGGCACTGGCTAGTCGCTCGCGTTTCGGACTTGGCACATCGCATTGTATAATCGCTCCAAGTGCGACCCGAAACGTGACGCGAGTAGGGGAGCAGCAGGTGGCCAGCCAGGAGATACGGCGTGCCCCTCCACCGCCAGACGGAAGTGATTCGCCTTTTGACCGGCTTATCGGCCAAATCCAATTAGCCGATCGCTGCCCTCGATCTGGCCAATATATGTTCATATATGTGGGGTTTCTGGCACACTGATAAGGGGACGACCGACTCATTGCAGATTGCCGGGAATCATTATATGGACATACTTGAAGGAAATTGCCTCCCACTATCTGCCAGTAGATTAAAGCTCGTTGGCATGTGACTCAACTTGGCCGGCAATTGGCATGAGTCCCGAGCTTATCGCCGGAGGATGCGTCACCCGCCTCGCCTCCGGCCAGGAGGAAAAGCTCCTCTTGGCTCGGTCCTCTTGTGCTGTGTGCATCGATTTTCCAGTTAATTAAGTTTTCTAAGTGAACGATTGCCATGAAAAACCCGGTCATCGCCGTGTAATCTACATACGCTCTAGTACGCCCCCGAGGGTGAATGGCGATAAAATCAACAAACTCATCAAACTATTTACGCTGTTTCTGTTGTTCCGCGGTGTTGTTGTAATTGCACAGAAAAAAAGGGTCCCAATTAGATGTTACTAAATCTTAACTTAGATTTAAACTCTAAGACAATTTGAACTAGGGTTTTCCGGTGAATTCTTCCTTCCTTATTTAGGCCATCTAAAAAAGCCTTTCCACTTACCTTTAATAATATGATATTTTTTTTCCGTGTATGCTTGGGGGCGTCGCCGCTCTAATTGATTTCAAAAATGCAAGCTACTGCAAAACCGAGCCATGTAAACATTGGCGTGCGGGCATCTACCTCCTGGTTGCCCTCCGCTCCCTTAGCCACCCACTGCTAACTATTACGTAGCCAATCTCTTGGCGCGACGGCCTTCAGGACTAATGATGGGGGGTTGGAGGAGGGTGGCGGAAGAGCAACAGCAACAGGCGGGTCGGCTCTCGATGGCTCATTGATTGTTTACTTGGGCGCAAACCTGGGCGACACTCGGGCACGGGCGTGTGCTCAAACACATGTCGCCCGCCGTGTTTGTTTGCCGACGATTTGTGTAGTTCCCCGCCCTGTGTTTCGTATGTCTTGCATCTTCTTGGCACCTCCACCAGCAGCTTACATAAGCGAGGGCGCTGCCTCCTATCTCTGCTAACGAGGGGTGACGAGGGCGGCATGGCCCATCCCTCGGCGGAAGCGTCATCGCTGGCATTTCATAATTTATGCAAATCAAACAGCGAAATCGCAAGTTAAGCGCCCGCTGTCGTCGCACCTCGCGAATGCGGTGCCTCCAGCCTCCGCCAGTCTATAGTCGAGGCCGAGTAGGAAAGCGTGCCACTGACCCACACAGCGACGACAACAACGGCTCACCAATTGCGACAACCGCGAATTTCGCGCTGGCTGAGGCAATAAAAGCGGCACATTTTTGTCAACGGTTATTGAGCCAGTTGCTCAACTCTTACGTCTCCATCGGCATCGTCATCGCCAACGCCATCGCCATCGCCATGGCCAGTTTATTGTTCATGACATTCAAAAAAGCAAGCTGAAGTGGTCGCAACTCGTCCGTGCAATCGCCTTTGACCAGCGATGGGAGGTTGTATCTGTGTGACTAACAAAAAAAACCTATACTTATTTTATTTCCTTACCATTTTCTCTGGCATCCAAAGTTCAGACTTGAGGTATTTTGTGTGAAGCTAGGTACTACCGGGTTAAAGGTTAGTTGGGGTGTATCCGGAGCTTCTTTAAAATAAAAAATATTCAAACCATATATCAAATGCAATGGTCATAGAAATCTTGTGGGATTTGTTTAAAGGGTTAAGGCAATAGTAAATTACAGAAGATTGCATTTAATTAGCAGAGAAAAGTGTACTTTTTTAGCTTATTAAGTGTGTACTTAAAGATTTTGTTGCTAAATCTAAAATATTCCTGTAAAGACCTTGCCTTATGCTTATTAGAGTGTGTATACAGCACACACAGCTGCTGGGAAAAAGCGAAACCGCGAAGCCCAGAATCTGCTTTCGCTTCCGTTCCCTTCGCCTGGTCCCCGGGCAAATCAATTGATATTCATAAGACAATGTGGCGAGAACCAGTAACTGGCCGCGTCGCGTCGTTGAGCTTAGCTGAACTCGCTGAACCCGCGCACAGCGCGAACCACTGTGCTGGAATCTGGTATCAGGAATCCGGAATCTGCTTGCCTCGCCTGGTACAGAGTGCAGTCTTTGTCCAGGTTAGCGGCATCTTAATTGCAGCTAGCCAGACCAAGTGTGCAATTGGCCAAGTCACGCCCCTCATTACCGCCTCCGTCTGTCTATTATTTCCCGATCTAAAGTGTTGATTAACGGCCGGATTGTTAATTGCATGAATCTCGCTTTTTTGCATGTGCTTTGCGTCTAATGCATTGGCAATTAAACTGTCGTGTGCCCCGGGCTCTAAAGCCTTAGCATCCGCAGAGCCACATGTTCCGACAGCGTCAAGTTCAATGCCATTGCCTGAATTTGGAAGCTCAACAGTTGGCTAAGCTTAGCCAAAGTCAAGTTCAATGCCATATGCCCGAAATGTTGTGGGCTCCACAAGTTGGCCATGATTTAAACACTGCGCAGACTGTCCTGTCAGCCGGCTGCCTGTGGAGCTACTTACTACACTCCCCGAAAAATTTACTATTAGTCAACATCACCACTTTCCTATCATTGCAGTTTAAATAAACAAAATTCTGGACTGACCCCATTGTAAGCATCACAAGAACCACCAATAGCAGCGACGGCAAGATGGCAATCCTACTGCAAGATGCCCAGGAGTGGTACCGAGACCTAATGGACACAAAAAGTGGTAAGTCTCTGCCGATCCCATGTCGCTATGTGTAAGGTTTCGCTATTGATAAGTCACTTCACCCCGCAGATCCTCGCGTCAACGACTTCTTCCTGCTTTCCTCACCGCTGCCCACACTGGGTATGTGCATATTCTACGCCTACTTTAGCAAATCCCTGGGACCCAGGCTGATGGCCAAACGAAAACCAATGGAACTCCGTTCGGTGCTAGTCGTCTATAACGCGATACAGACAATATTTAGCGCGTGGATTTTCTATGAGGTAAGTTGCCTATGAAAACTCCTGGTTGACTCGTTGTAATATCGTTTTGTTATGCCTTAATTTCAGTACTTAATGAGTGGCTGGTGGGGCCACTACAGCTTCAAGTGCCAGCCCGTGGACTACAGCAATAGCCCCTTGGCCATGCGAGTAAGTTTTTAGTGGGGAAATCTTCTAGGAATATGGTGTAACTTTAGGCTCCGCTTTCTTTAGATGGTCAACATCTGCTGGTGGTACTACATATCCAAATTCACCGAGTTCTTTGACACGCTCTTCTTCATTCTGCGCAAGAAGAACGAGCACGTTTCCACACTTCACGTCATTCACCATGGCTGCATGCCCTTTTCCGTTTGGATGGGTCTTAAGTTCGCCCCAGGTAGGTAGCGCAAAAATATTAATATGTCTATGCTGCACAGGTATTTCACGCAAAAGTATGTACATATATAACGATATACGATGTACATATCTTCGATAAATTAATATTTTGTTTGATATACACTTTTAAATTCATTATTAAGCTTTCTTGTTTTTGACTCACAAAACTATTCTTCCTTTAGGCGGCCACAGCACATTCTTCGCTCTCCTCAACTCTTTCGTTCACATCGTGATGTACTTCTACTATATGATCGCTGCCATGGGTCCAAAGTATCAGAAGTTCATCTGGTGGAAGAAGTACCTGACCACCTTCCAGATGGTAGGTGTCCACATCGATGCACTCCTTGTTTGCGGCTGTCGACTGACTGTTTTCCTCACCACACGCATTTCAGGTTCAATTCGTGGCCATCTTCACGCACCAGTTTCAGCTGCTGTTCCGCGACTGCGACTACCCCAAGGGATTCATGGTCTGGATCGGGCTGCATGGCGTCATGTTCCTCTTCCTGTTCTCCGACTTCTACAAAGCCAAATATCTTAATGCCGCTCGACGACGCCGTCAGGCGGTCAAGGCGAATGGCCATGTCAATGGGCTGCATGCCAACGGAGGCCACTCCAAGCATTCGGGCGAGGGCGATGCCTTGCTCTCTAACGGCAGCAATAAGGGTGCTTGCATGGTAGGTGGATACACAGCAACACACAGGGTCAAAGGCGGGGCGATCTGTGACGCAATTGGGGGACCTTAAGGCGGCCCTTGGGAGCTATTAGTGGAGGCTACGCAAACATATTTACTTCACTTACGCGCGGGACCCTCGATCGGGGTGTGGAACAAGCTGGGGAGAGCTGGAAGACGAAAAGCCGGTGTGGGCAGTTGTATCATCATAATTTTGTTGATCAACTTAAAAATATTCTAACTAGCTAAGTTAGGCAAATAGCACTTGCAAACTCTCAACGCTGGCGGGGGACGTTTCAATTAGCGCTCACATGTGAAGCCGGATGCGAAGGCCCAAGCCCAGTTCCAATCCCAATCGGCTAGTCTCTGCCGCTGCGGGGCTGCCCATTAGAAAAGCACACACAGATGAGAGCTTTTACTAGCGGCACACACGTGCCAATGTGGCAAAGTGCCAAAGTATAAGCAGTCCAATCCGTTTCCAACGAACTCATCCGAGCAATATTTCTCTTTTCTTTTTCTACAGCCCGTCATCGAGGACGAGTACGTGAAGAGCAACGGTCATGCCAATGACAGCTACAAGGACGGCTTCTTCAAGGATGGGGTGCTATCCACCAATGATGCAATCTTGAACCCGGACAGCAGTAGCTCTAGTCTGCACCAGCGCAAAGTCAAATAACTACTACTTAGGTGTACTACGATGATATTCATTATGTTTATGTTAAGTGTTTAGCGTGTAACCGAACCAAATTGAAGAACAAGACCAGCAAGAAACTTGGCAGCAGTAGCAGATCCAGTAAGACAATTGATTGGCACCACACAGCAAGGCAAAATCAGGCAGAGAACTCAGTTTATCAATTGTTCTTCTAATACTTTATATTAAAAAAAACATATAAAACAAAGTTTAGTCAAGCCTAAAGTCAGTCGTACCGAACAAGAAGCAAGTAACTAGACACTAGTGACTAGGAGCGAGTAACAGGGATCGTATGACTTGAAAAAAGTAACTAGAAGCCAGTAACTAGTACCAAGTAACGAGAAACGAGTGACTAGAAACAAGTAACTAGAAGCAAATTACTAGAAACAAGAGCAACCTATGGCCCACCCACCCGAACCGTCAACTAAAGCTAAGTAGGAAGAGCAGTGGCAGCACAAACTAAGAGCTAATCAAACCCTTTTTATATAAACGTTTTCTATGGCACCCGTTTACAAGCCCTTTTTGAGACACTCGTACGCGCAAGCAAACTTATTTTTCGAATGATATTTGCAGGCGGGCCCCGTTGCAGCGTGTTCTAAACTAGCATCAGAGATACCATTTACAATTTACCATTATTATAACAAAGCTATGTGTGTATATATACTGATGCATTGGAGCCTGTATCACTCTAGTTGTAAACGTTTTTTATGGCAATTTTTGATAACAAGTCGAGACGTAATCCTAACGATAAAAGATAGCTAAGCATGCTCTTTTAAGTCTGCTTTAAACTTAAAGAACACGTTAACCTATTTGTAGCTTGGTTTTGTATATTGAGAGGACAGTTTGTTGCAATACTTTGTAAAGGTCTAAATAGTAAAACTTATTTATAAATTGTAGCTAGCTAGCCAATTGCGAAATGTAAAACACGGCACTACACATGACACCACCCCCATACCGCCTAGCTAGAAGTACATAGAGTCAGGCACAACGGAAAACAAATAACTTTTGAACATATATATATATATAAAGATAAAGCTTTTAGACTCTAAGTGCAAAACACGGCTTACGAGGAGCAGACAATCAGTTTGAGCGTCGGACGTTGGACGCCACAACGGAACAGATGGAAGAAGAACAAGTGTTATTGTCAACTATTCGTATATATTTTATTGAACCTCATTTTGGTGTGGCTTATATAGGTGTATACTTTATTACCACTTTTTGTACCATATACCCCCTGTTCCCCCTTTTGGTTTGAAGTTGTTAAACGGTTTCATTTCAGAGAGAAGATAGAAGAGGAAAGCGTGAAGCGATAGCGATAAGCCGTCGCGAGTAATTATTTTTTGTACGTGTAATTCTGTCTGTTAACCTGTGCGTATTGGTTTCATTGTTAAGTTATGTGGTTTAAGCTGACAAGTTCAAAAACTATGGAAAACCTGAATAAAGCTTATTAATTTATATTAAACACAATTTGTTTTAATAATTCTTTAGACGGGCATTCTCTTATATATTTGGGGAAAATGTATTAAACAAAAAAGTTATTTATTATTAGTTAGCTATTCGTTTTCATAACTTTTCATTTGTGGTATTTGTTTCATGGAATTGTAGCATAGTTTTAGGCTTGTTGTAAATTGTTGTGGATCTTAAAGAAAATGTGAAAACTAGACTTCCACTAATCAAGTAATTAGTTTGAGTTATCTGAAGTGATCAAACCCAGCCCTATACAGATCGATCGGAATGAAAAACTTTTAATTTGTACATCAAAGTTAACGAAATACGAGTGGGTCAAAGGCCCTTTGTTAAAATTATCCCCCTCCAATAGGTATTTATTTTGACCAAGTCCAAGTCGCAATACGACGTTACTTGGCAATCAGGCAGTGATCTAAGCCTTTCGAGGTGCAAAAACAACCTATGCTTATAAGATTTTCCCCCGGGGTCAGCCAAATTACCTTGAACCGCAAACAGATACGTAACAAGGAATTTGTAGCTATTTTGTTGGCGTAACCACCCACAAGATTGAATAATTAGTAATCAAAATAGCGTACCGTGCCAAGAACACAGCTCCCAGGCTCCGGGCTCAAGTTCCAAACGGCGGCATCTCCTCACACTCTACACTTTGGCCTGGAATCGGAGCGGCTTCGGCGCTCCGCTGAGCAAACGGGGAGAAGCACGCTTGTGCCAAGCCATCGAAAGTCTAATAACAATGCATTTTTGCCACTGGCTAAATACCGAAATTGGCAATTACTTCATTTACTAATTATTGACAAACAAAGCGAAGTTGCGTATACGCCCAGTAGGTGCCAGCTGCTCTCCGCTGACAAATAAATATTTGACACCCGCTTGACCTTGTCTCGGGCGCAGCAGCAGCATCAGCATCAGCAGCTAGTTGCGGCGAGATGTTAGCCGAGTTGACACAACTAAATGCATCGCAAGGCACGAGGGGATCTACTTTGGAGCCGGCGGCATGGGGTCACTCGGGGCACCATTTGATGCCCTATTGTTTGGCAATTCCCGGAGCGCTCAATTCAGCTCACCAGTACATCCCAGTACTGGGATCCATCCTAAGCCACATCCAATCAGCTGGCGATCCATCCCTTTCATCCGAGTTCAGTCAGTGCTCGCCGGTGCCAGTCGAAGACAAGTTATTACCCAATATAAAATATATCAAGTTTGATTTTTAAGACCAATCCGTTTGACGCAATTCCGGTTTAGATCCGCCAACACGTGCCGAGAAATATGTTCTCAAAATACTAACGAAATACTTTGCCCTTCGGCAAAACCGTAAGCGGCGTAGTTTTTGATATTACGGAACCTTTGCACATTGTCGCCAAGTATTTAGCATTTGTATATGCATAGTAGCGGTCAATCAAGTGAATAAATACTAAGGGTCTTGCAGTGCATAATACTGCGCCACCAAGATCAAAAAGTAATAGTTTTTCTCCTTTAAAACTTCTTGCAACACGGTGGACGTGAGTTCGATGTAAATTTTTAAACGGTTCACGCCTCGCAAAATTCGATTATCACATTTTTCCTCCTACACGATCAATAATAATAAATTACTATTCAATGTTTAGAAAAGGAAACCCAATCTCCATAAAAGAAAACTGGTCCATAGTAGCCACATGACAAATAAACTTAGTAATTGACGCTGATTAGTATTATTAATTATTTGTATATAGCAAAGCCTAACTGCGAAAATATGGTAAGTGTTAAAAAGCGTATTGAGTTCCCAGTAGGACTTTGACCTGGAATAATATTATTCATAATCTGACTGCATCTTGCATTTAATATAAACCTATAGGGGATAAAAAATATTTAGGGAAATTGAATCCCATTCAGCTAAGGAAATTTTCATTTAATTTGGAATATTCCTAGATTTCCAGATTTTTTAAATCTAAATGATTCCTTGTTCATGTGAATATCAACATAACAGATGTATTATATATAGTATGTATGAACCATTTTAATTATTATGAGTCGCCTTTTGGATAATGTACATTTGTAGCTACCAAAACAAAGGAAGCCAATATTGGCAAACCGAATGTGATATACCCTTGCTGGTTTCCCTGATCTTTTAAAGGACCTTATGAGAAAGAGTAGTTGCTATATTTTGGAGTTATTAAAAAATATTTAGAAAAACAACATTAACACCCATCGTAATAGGGTGTTAATAGGTATTAAATGGGAACACGTTAAAAACCCAAAATACGGTAATAAAAAACAAGAAAGAAAGCTAACTTTGGCCAGCCAAAGTTTGTATACCCTTGCAGGTAACAATTAAAATATATCATAACTAAGCCAAAAATGCATTAATTTCGATTCGGAAAGCAGTTTTGTGTTAGTTTTCATTAATTTAAAAAAACTGCTTACCAAATTTAAAATTATTAGAAATCAAAATTTTTGGCCATTTTTGCTTATTTTAATGATGTAACCCCTTATTAAATTTCGCAAAAATGGCCAAAAAATCGATTTCTTCCTGACATATCTAGAAAGATTCCCCTGTTGATGCTGATCAAGAATATATAAGGTTTATAGGGTCGGAAAGGTCTCCTTGACTGCGTTGCAAACTTCTGACTGAAATTATAATACCCTGCAAGGGTATACAAAACCTAATTTAGTCTTAAATACCTACTTAAAATATGAATAGTACCTGAACTTGGCAATAAAAACAAAACAAATTTTAAAATTGCTAATATTTAAAAGGTGTCATTCTATCAGAAACGTATATTATTGGTACAATTACCAAATAAATACGAAACCATTGGGTAGCAAGAATTATCTTTGGTTATATGTATATTCTGGGTATCCTAAATCGGAAATCAACATAAAATTCTAGTAAAATATACCTACTTAAAATGGGGAACTCGATTTAACGACTTAACAGTCAACTCCTAATATTTTATTATTGTTTAGACTTTGTCGCTAACAGAAAAAGTGATACAAATCATTAGTTTTTTTTTTTAATAGTTTAGGGAAGTGTGAATTTTCGTGCATCAGTAAATATGTACGTCCCCTTACGCCCAGGAGCCATCGAACCACGTTGGAGTCGGGGTTAGGTTACAATCTTCGAGTTGAGGTTGAGGTTGGGTTCAACTCTGGGGTCTTGTCGTGGTCAAAGGCAATTAGATTGTTTGTTTTGTTTCGTGCACTTGACGCCTCGTAGCGGAAAGTTTTCGCACTGACAACTGCACACTGCACTTGGCTCTCGGCGGCGGCGGCGGCGCTGACCGTAAAGTTTCCATAGACCAGTCAGAAAAACTGGGCATTCTCTGCGCCTGCGCTCCAGCTACGACTGAGCACCAGCGCTGCCTGCCCGCCGGCGTGGGAGCAGCGCTGCCGGCGTCGACATTCGCCGTTGCGTCGCCGCGATTCGCGTTTTTAATCGGCAACTCAGCGGCGACGTTGCTCAGTTTTCATTCAGAAGTCAAGCGCGCGCTAATCGCCGCGTCTCGTTCGTGTGGGCCAGAAAGCGATTGCAACAGCAGTCAAGTCAGTAGCAGCAGCCATCGCCATCGGTTTTACAAAGTTCTTTGGCAACACAATTTGTGAAATAGTTCGGGCCCGTGCAATTTCTGTGTGCCGTTGTGGTTTTTGCAGTTTTCAGCTTGGCAGCTTTACAGTTTCCAGTGATTTACCAACCGATCCCCCCCAAGCCGAGAGCCAGGCCCGGCCAGCCAGCCGATCGTTGCGGATTTTTCAAGTTGGATTGGTAAGTCTCACTCAGACCACTCCGCCACATGTGATTTCTGGCTCTTTTGCAACTGTTCGTTCGTTGGTCCGTTCACAATAACCATTTTGGACTGGACGGCGGTCCAATTCCGCTCCCGCACCTCCTTCTTCCCCTGCTCCTCCGCCTCCTCCTCCTCCCGATGCTTCCCATTAATTCGAGAGATAATCGATTAAAATCGAAACAGCCGTGTGGCAACCCTGGCTTGACACTTGCTTAAGTATTTTATAAAGCCTGAAATATCCCCACAGGTTTTATGTTTCTTTGATCTGGGATAAGATTCTCATAAGAATTTGAAAAGAGTACGTAATATCAGCGCGGGGGCTGAGATTTAAGTCAATCTACTAGAAAAAAAATTCGATCAGCTGAGCTTTGTTTACATCTCGGAGGCCAGAACAGCTGCTTGCCCGATTCAAGCTAACCATTAAACTATGTAGGTGATTAGGAATAAAGATCTTAAATTAAGCAAAACATATAGAATTAGCCATTTGACAGTATATGTATACTTTTCCCAGCGACCCCTTGACATTGAGTTCAAAGTTCGAGCCTCGAAGTGCTAACGGCCATGGGCAATTAGCACGCCCTTGCTGAGAATAGCTGTATAATTGGCAGTGTTTTTTTTTTTTCTTGAGCTATTAATTTTAATGTAAAATACAAAACAAAAAATATCCCAGCAAGTGCGGAAAAGATCGCCACAAAACCGGACTAGATTCCGACCTTGGACTTGACTGTTGCGGTGCAGTGCATCCTCCTGCCCTTGGCAAAAAAAGCACTCTTGGGTTTTCCCCCAGCGCTGGCCGCTGGATGGGGGAACCTGTTTGGGGAACAACTTTCGAGGACTTGCCATGCAATATGATAATGGTGATGGCTTTCAATCCGACGATGATCGCTTCCGTGTTGCCAACTAATTGGAGTGACTGGCTACGCCCCGAAAGGGAATCACCCTTGGTCAGTTCCTGCCCCACCTGCTCCGCGACAATTCCTTTGTTCTGACTCAGGACGGGGCTGCGGGGGCGGTGGGGATGAGTGCTAACAAATCATTTCAAACTGTAGGCCGGCAAATGGGAATTTCGCTTTCGCAATCGACATTTACATATGCTAACCATCCGGGTTTCTTCACTTCTTCGAATGCCACGCACGTAGTGCGCGTTTCAAGCGAATTTACAGGCTACACGCCAATCCCCTCCCAGATCGCAGATCTCGAAGCCAAGATCTAAGGCCCGACGACGGAGAAGTAGCCTCCCCGGCGGCCGGATTATGGGCATTTACGGGACGTTTACCCAAACAAACACACAAATCCAAACACTAAAGCGCTTGGCATTGACTTTGGGCTTAAAGCCCGCGCGACTCACTCTCTATAAATAATTCAAGCGATCGTTTACGTTTGTCTAGATTCTAGAACAGGATCCCGGCTTCCTCTCAGAGTGCCTGACCAAGTTGGCTGAGGGGCCTGCTAATTGGCAAACAAGCGGCGCACACGCCCAGACAACTGTGATTTTGGCCAGGCCAAGAGACAGCAATAGCTAGCTGAAAAGGTAATAAACACCGAAAGATGAATGAGAGTCAGGTTCAGTACTCCCAAGACGTTGGTTTGCAATAAAAAGATGATTTTTGAGTCGGTTGATAAATGTAGAAAATGTACAAATACCAAAGGTTATTATGGATTTCAAATTAAGGTATGCCAGGTATTTAATCCTGTCGACTTTAGAACATTCTCCCATTTGAACTTGATTGCTCTTCTAGATGAAATGCGCATTCACTAAAGTCTGGAATATTCCCGAAATCTTAAACCGTGAGATTCAACTGGCGTATCCAAATGTTAAATTAACAATATATATTCGAGTACATGGCCCAAACGTGTGCTGTCATCCAGCAACGTCATTGCTTCTAATCGAACTTTGGCCGTAGAATTGTTCGAAAATTGATGAGACGTCGGGGACGCTTCGTGGCCTGTTAGCACGCCACTTGCCACGCTGCTTTACTTTTTTGCCAATGACGGAATATTTGAATAAGGGACCGTAGAAACTCTTAATGGAAATTTTAAGTGACTAATTAGAAAGAGATGCATGTGTTTATGTTTCAGGTAATTCCTTGCTAATGCACTTTTAAGGCTGTTAATATATAGATTTTGGGCTTTGAACTGATAGGCTTTTTGTGATGACTAATATTGTCCGCCTCCGTCTGCTACGTGTGGGGCATTTAAAAGCGACCAGAAGCTACCAACGGCCACATCTCAGCACTCTAGACACCAGACAACACGCTGACTGACAGGCTATTCGTGAGGCGTTGAGTGCTCTGATGTTGGAGGAAGTTGTGTCACTTAATCAGCTGAATCTGTAAAATCAGCGACTTGCATTTCCACCTGCATCACCTGATTGCCGCTCTGAACTTCAGCTTGCCAGCTCTCTTTGGTGGCCTACTTTCCGATTGCCTCACATGCCGAAGCCGAAACAAAGACTCGAAGACACCGCGGACTAGGCCGATTCCGATCCCGATCGCGATCTCAATTCAGAAGCAATAACAAATTGTGTACGAGCGTATGCACGACGAGTTGGCTTCAAAATCTTGGCCGTTAATTGCCGTAATTAGCGCGCCAAACGCAAACACGAATAAAAACAAGCAGAGTCAACAACAAAAACAGGGAATACAACAAATTGATCATTACAAAATATTCCATAAATGATTCGCGCTTGCGCATGTATCCGCAGCTCTTCTTAAACATATTTACGCATTAAGTCGGGATTCACTGAATCTATGGACCTGGCAGCTCAGTTACTAGAGATCCTAATTTGTTTGCCTAGAAAGATAAATGTTATTGTTCTGAATCTATCTTAAAAAGTGTGCTTGACATTTGTTTGCGCCTCCTAACGACTTTCAAGTACTCTGTTTTTCACAAACCCACTTGCCAATATGCTTTTAGCTTGTGTATTTATGCTTTTCGAAGTTGTTTTCATTCAACAATCTTTTTATTTAAGTCTTGGATAGATAGATAGATCGATTCTTTTAACTTTTAATTAAAACAACCATTTATTCGGTTGGAATAATCGGAGATATTTGCAACTTTATAGAGTCGTTTGATGAAAATCTTTCAGCTAAATTGTTTCTCTTCATAAATTTAAGTAGTCACTTAATAATACAGGTTTAATTGATTTCAGCTGATGGGAACAAGAGTTAAGCCTGACTTGGATTGGGTATTGGAAGTGGCTAATGATATTTTCCTAGCTGTGTGTGCTTTTTTCATGCGAATCATTTCCGCGTGGATTTACATTCGAATTGCATGCAATGCATTAATTAGTATAAATTCTAAGGCTAACAAGTAAGAAGGCTTTAGTCGAAGGTGTGGACTATAAACATACTTCGTAGGCCCTACGAGATACAATCCAGAATATAAATCTTAATCGCTTATTGAGCCTTACAATATACCCAATTTTCTATACCCAGGGTATTGGTACGAGTCAAGGGCCGGAGCAGAATCAGATCTTCAGTACAGGTTTCCGGAAGCCAACCCACTGACAGAGACAACATTGAAACCGGGGAATTGCCTTGACATGGCGAAAATAAAAATGATCCGACCTGCCCAAATTAGTGACTAATGTGGCCAAAACAAAAGGCAATTGTGCTCGTACGACGCATTTGCTTCTTTGCTCTTTTTTTTTTTGGTGCTTTTCTGGTTTTAATGAACATTTTGCTCGTTTGCGCAGTCGCTTTGCCCGCTATAAATCTGTCAACAAAGCACCGACTTCTCACTTGAGGATTTTGACATTGAAATGCGGCAGAAGATGGAGTCGCAAATGGAGATGGCGATGGCGATGAAGACCCCAGCCATGAAGTGTTGATTGAGTCGTCGAGCCAACACAATCATTGGCAACAATGAAGCGCCTGCAAAATAATACTTTTCCCCTAAAAACCAAAAACCCAGCACGGCATTGTCTTGCCTGATCCAGTCCCCAAAATCTCTGGTAAACGCTCATTTGCGGTTTATGCGCCGCGAGATGAGCACACGCACATGGCACATTGGCTATATGGGGCTGGTGTGGGTTTGCACAGAGATTAGTGGCTATTAGCGGCGTTACCTTGGGGCTGGACGAGGTGAGAAATGTGCCCAAGAGGGGCGGCCTTGGGCGGCGAGTGCGCAAAGTCACTTTAATTGGCATCGGAATCGGAATTGGAACCTTTCGAGGGTTCGTTCTCCGCGGAGAAGGTGCAGGTGTCACGGGCTCCTCCCTGGGGATTATGCAATTATCTGTGGAATGCCATCATTGTGAAATAGCACTTTTACAGCGACTAATCGATGGCTAGCTTCAACTGTCGATTAACGGTTGTAATTGCAGGTTGTCGCTTAATTAACGCAATTCGCTAAAACCGCTTCCCCGTAATCACAGCGGGTGCAAAGTGCACCACAACCCTTTGCACACTGCACTTTCCACTGCCCTCCAGTTGAGTCGGGACCGAGACTCTCAATATTTGACTTTCGGCTGCCCGTGGACAAAGTCGGATGTTCGACGCTGAATTAATATTTTCTTTGGAAAACTCGAGTGCCGCGGCCAGATGAACTTTGTTTATCCACTGTGAGTTGTTTGAGGTAAATAAGCTACAAATTGCGCCATGTGTATGTGGTGGGTTGGTGGGTCCCCCGGCAAAAAAAAACTTTCGATTGCTAGAGATTCTCACACTCCCAATGAATGGATGCCTGGATGGATATGGATGTTGTGATGGCCAAAACGAGAAATACTACTACTAAGACGTCTCTATCGAGCGGACCCAGAGCCCTCTTCAGATCATATTAGCTTTGCTGGGTGTGTTTGGGGCAAATAATGGGTCTGGGAAGCGTTGAAAGTACACGTGAAGCGCTGCCAGTTCCCAGCTTTTAGCTTCTAGCTCCCAGCTCCCGATCTGGCAAACTGTGATTCCCATGCTAGTCCCTGGCCGTGCAGAGCCGAAATGGATCTGTGAAAGGTTCAGCCGAACTATGATTCCTACAA